CCAGTGAGCTCTCTGACCTCAGGACAGGGCTGCGCTTGGCAGGAGACATGGGGCTCGACCCAGAAATCAGGCTGAGCTAAAATTAGTCAGCATTGGCTACCAGGCAACATCTGGCTGGATTTTAATCTGTAAAGTGAGATTTTGCATTAAAATATACATTTGTTAAGTAATACTACCAATTTATGATACTATACATATGTATAGTAGCAATATTAGCAAATTAGCAAATGAATTTGCAATCGTCAAATTCATTTTGCAATCAGATCTTCCTTCCCTATTTTTATGTAATTATTTTCTCTAGGTCCCATTTGCATTTGCAAATGGTATTTTTTCTGTGGACCTTTCAGGTCCAGAAAGATAAAATCCAAACCAGGATTTTGTTTCAAACAACCAGTTGAGCATAAAGAGTCACAGTCACAGAGTACTCAACTGGTTGGTTGAAACAAAATCTTGGTCTGGATTTTTACTTTCTGGACCTGAAATGTCCACCTCTGTAAATATTAGAAGTCCAGTTCAGTGTAGCACATTCCGAGCTTCAGGAACGTATTCCTGTGCCTTCGATGAGCGTCAGGACTTCTCCTGAACAGCTACCTTGATTCTGGGCTTCCTGCCTCCTGTTGTTAGCTTAGCAAACGGCGTGCTGAGCTTGCAGGCCGGCACACGGAGCCCTCGTCACCGGTGTGGCCAGCGGCCATCAGGCTGCATCACACAAGCTCCCTGCATTGTGCCTTCAGTAGCTATTCAGATAGGCATGTACGGCAAGGCGGGAGACAAGAGACAAGGACGTGTTGTTCTGTGAGTAAGATGGACCTTCACGTCTGGTTGACTCAGCAGGGATCTAGTATTGAGGTGTTGATGAAAATGTAAAATTACTGAAGTGGAAACAGAAGACTTTGATCAAAAAGCTTCGACGTCTGAAGCCCATTATATGCCATTTAACCCCTAGGGACACTGGGGTCATAAAGTTAAAAATGGAATTCCCAAACTGGAGCGACCGTGAACATCTAAGGCAGAACATCTAAGGCAGATGTATCAGCAAGGAAAATAATCTTGCTGATGTTTCCAGGAAAAAAGCGAATTTTCACCTTCAAAATGCAATAAGTAGTAACCTTCCCACTGACGCTCCCGGATCTGCTTTGCATATTGATTTTTCAAATATCGCAGAACATTCAGTGTAATGATTAAAGTGCACGAACTTAACCTATGCACGTCAACAAAATTAAACCATTTAAGGAATATAGCACCAGGCATTGTTATATTGTTGCGGAAAATGTCTGATCAGTCTGACCAACCAAGCTCCATAGAAAAAAATCATGAATGCTGAATAAAATAATGCACAGCAGATTTTTCCTGATAATAACTTAAGCGCTGGCCCCAGAACCAGGGAATCGCAGGCGATGTTCCGACTTATGGAGGGTAAAGGTTACACTTCAGCAGTTTCTGAGGAAACCTGAATGCGCTGCAGGCATTTGGAGATAGAGTTCCTCTTTGCAACGTTATTCCGTTTTGATTGAGCCAAAATTCTGGAATGAATTCCAGATCACCTGTGACTCAAACCCAGCACTGCAAGTTGACTGAGCTTGGAGGAGTCAGCCAAGGCGGACGAGAGCAATGAGAAATGCAGCAAGATAATGCTGCATTATTTATTTACTTATTCATTTATCTCCCCAAGCCGGTGCGTGGAAGACCTGAACTGGAGAAAGTCCTTCCAAAAGGATGACATCACTAGCCAGATGCAGCCTGGTATTGCATGATTTTTGGGTGGAATGAGGATGAGGTCACTTCCCCCATAAAGTGAGAGAGACCGAGATGGAGGGGGCTGCTACTGAGACAGCCTCACATTTCAATTATTTACAAACTGTGTCTATAAAACTCTCGGCCTTGCTTAGGTCAACGGTCAGTTCCTCATTTTAAATGTACCGCCTGGGGTGTTTTACGTTTCGGCAGAATATAGATAAAGGCAGAAGCAACAAAAATCTAAACCCTATAAAAATACACTGCTTTCTAGTGCGGACCAGTTGTGGGGACACGTGAGCAGTGTCGCGCCGGGCCGCCTTGCCCAGGGTTAGGAGGCAAAGCAAGGCCCCCTCCTCTCGCTCGAGTTACTGCTGTCTTCTTCTCAGGGAAACCCCCCGGGGAGGTGCAGGGTGATGCACACCAGCTGTGCAGCCTCCCATTGGTCCAAAAAGACAGAACTGAACAGTGACAGTGACGAAAGACCTGTTTACGCATTGGGTGACATTGGAGATAGACCTGGGGCCGCGTTAGACGCCTGCAAGGATGCCTCTGGGGCCCTGGAGGGCCACATGGCGGGGGGGTTGGGGGGGGGGGTGGAGCAGGACAGGTAACTCTGGCCTTAACCGGCATTTAATGCTTTTTATGCACGAAATTCATATAGCCATTGTAAGTCCCTATAAATGACCCCAAAAAAAAACACCTTTTCTGGAACTATGATGCCTTCATGTCACTTTGTATGTCATATTTAACCAAGTAAATGGTACACAGTAAGAAATTTCTGCCTTAAACTGTGGTTTTCTCTTACTGCGGTTTTAAATACACTGAAGGTTGGCCGTCGCCAAGGTGACCAGTATGATAAGTCATTAGTCTAATTTATAGTTCAGTCTTCTAGAGAATTAACAAGAAATATCTTTCTGCTGATTTAGGTCATTGATTATCCAGTAAGCACAATGCCCTTTATTACCTGTTCAGATGGAAATGTATTGTGATGCATCCCTTTATGTTTTTGTTACAGACAAATTCATACTCTAAGGGTGACATTGGGGCTCTGAAGCCATGTTTTTCTTAAGCTATTTCTCTCTTCGTCTGTGCCAGAAGCTGCATCACAGCACATTCATCTTAGACCGGAATAATGGTTTATTACTGTTTTATTTTTTTATCTCCCCATTGAGTCAGAAAACAAACAAACAAAATGCAAGCCACCCTCTCGATACATGTTTTGTTGCCATGACAGCAGGGGGACCGTCCGCTCGCGACGCCAAACATTATGGCCCCGGCTGCTATTTCCAGCGCGCGGAATTAGCGGGCTGATGTCATGCTTCCCTCTCCCCTTATCGCCCGGAGCTTCTGCCTTCCCCTTCGTGCCGATGTATGCGGTCACCGGCTAAAGCTCGATATCGAAGCAGCCGGCAAAGAATCACTGTCATAATGCAATCGCATCAGCCCTGGCGGTGAAGTCAGCCTGAGAGAATATCCGGGGTGGGTGGGCACTCAGAGAAACACGCAGATGTTCAGTGTGGGATTTCGGGGATGGGAGCGGAGCCGCCGCTTCACAGTATCCTGTCTCTGCTTACGGTGCGCTTTATAAACATGTATACATACTTTGATATACACGCAGTTATATCGGATGTTAGCACAAGCGGTAAGCCACACATTTTAGAACAGATTACTGATCTTCCAAATGCATAAACATCTTTTCCTTTTTATGTTCGTTAGTATAACCCAAAAGCCAAAACATTCATAATTTTAAAACTGTTTGGTTAACCTTTTAAAACATGCATGCAAAATCATAAATATCCATCCATCCATCCATCCATCGATTATCTATACCGCTTCATCCATTCGGGTCGCGGGGAAGCTGGAGCCATCATAAATATTACAATTGTTTTCAAATAATAATTAAAAAAAAATTATCCTTAAAGGAATTTTTACATTTAAGACAGAGAAAACCTGACATGACAACGAATAAAAATTATTTTACATAATAGCTTTGATAATCATTAATTAATTTTGGATCCACAATAAAAAATAAAATTCCAGGGTGTGACAGTTAGCAGCTAATGTAGCTTAACCTCTAACAATCAAGAATTTTGGGGCTTCTGTTATTGCACAAGGCCACGTGGTGATATCAGTAATAACGGCAATGTATTCCGTGAAATACTATAATTACATTACATTGACCTGATTTCTTTTATACTTACTGAAACAGAAAATAAACTTAAATATTTGAAATATGCGTTTCACCAGTGTTTAGAGGACTGTACTGTACATACTGTAGTACTGTGAAAAGTGGGTTGATGTGACGTCATTGTGAAAAAAACATCCTATTAATCACATCTAACATTACACTACAGACGGAATATGCACCAGGAATTCTTTCACTACTGAACTTTGTGTATAAATCCCTTAATGGATATTTTTTATCTCCAAAGCACCATTTTTCATTCCGGGTCCTATAGGATAACTGAAGGGATCTGCTTGGTACGGCCAAATTCTCTGGAAGGTGTAATCTTTCAGCATTAAAATGTTCTGTCATGGGCTATAAAGCATGACTAACCCCTTCTCCTTAGTGATGATGAAATGGTGGGAAACTCCACAAAATACAGGTTCATTAGAATGACCCTCAAACAAACTGTAAGTCAGAAACATTTTATTTTCTCTCCATCGAGTAGTAACTCAATTTACTGCCATTTACCTTTTTTGGGGGGGGTTAGGCCTCCAGACTGAGATTGTGAAAGTAATGAGGAAAAAGTGCCTTTGTGGCGTATGAGAGTTCAGTTATTTTGAATATATAATTTAATAAAGTTGATACGACCAGCATCTTTGTACACTGAATGATTCATAATCCATTCCTGACTCAAATAAACAGCTGCACAATATCTACAAGTACCTCCCACTGGCAATCATTTCACAATTCATAAATATATTTAAACGTTTACAAAAATTCTAATAAAATAAAACCTCAAAGCTTGCACATATCTTACCCGCTATGATACATGTTTTATTCATTTTAAGGGGCAGCATCCTTGTCAGTTAAGTGAATCAGAGTGACAGTTAGCACAGAGAATATCTGGGGGTTTTTCACACCATCCTGAACTGCACAAGTACTGGGCATTTTTACAGTTCTGCTTAATCCTGCCCATAAATGCCGGAACCCTGCCTGCCCAAGTCTGGCCAGGTCTCATGCAAAGTGAATATAAGTCAGCTTTAAGGCAATGTGACCTGCCCTTTTTTGAAAAGATCTCGAAGACGGTCCTTCTTACCAGTTCACGAGCTCCCAGGCCGCAGGTCAGAGGTCGGTGGAACGTGTCAGTCAAAGGGAAGGTAATCCTAGAGCAGACACCTTTTGTCAACAAATGATGTACGCGCTCTGCAGCCCAACTCCAGATTCATCAAGCAGGGAGGCTGCTTGTACCTGGTCAGATTTTTTCTTGTCCTGCTTTTGGTTCAGAGGTCGTGCTAGAAACGTGAAGCAGAAAAACGACTACGGCACCCGGTCCTCCCCGTCAGACCAGGTTGCAGCGTGGAAGGACACACAGAGGAAAGCACTGAAGATGTGAGAGCGTGGCTGAGTGAGAGAGACCAGCAGGGAGGAGGGGAGGAGCAGCTTCTCGCTCTTTCCTTTCCGCTTCTTTCTTTGAAAACTTAATTTCCCTCTCAGCAAATGAGCTTCCAGGACACATCCAGTCGATATCTGCTGTCAGGAGTCCTCTTCCCCTCACAGCCCTGCTTCTGCCCATGGGCCGGTGGAATGGCCAGTGTGGGGGATCGTGTCTTGGCTATATTTACACAGCACTCCCATATGCTCAGGGGTGTCAGTGCCCCAGAAGACTGAGGCAGGCTTTTCCCAACCACACGCTGGGAAGGCTGGCCGGGACTGAGCGGAGAAGCTCAGCACTCGCACACCTCATAAAGCGCCACTGTTCACCTTACAGACGCGCATTTCATGTCTGAAATGGCACATTTCCTTCACTTACCCGTCATTATGCTTGATAATCATGCTTTTTATGCAGAGTATTGTTTTAAATCAGTGAAGATTAATGTATACATTTTTCTTCACCCTAAAGCAATTTCTACTACAAGTTTGTGTGCATGAAATATCTGATTAACGTTATATGTAACAGAGATGAATGCTGTGACTGTTTTTTCTCAGACCCAGTCCAGAAGAGATTCTTCCTTTATGGAGACACGATTGTGCTCTGTGGATACGCAAAAACAGGCAAAGATCTGAACAAGCTGCTGTCAGAGGATCACTCTTGAATGCCAGAGTTCGTGGGCTTTGCTCTGTGGGACTGTGTGTGCCGTAGATTCCATCGGGCAGGAACAAAGCCATCTGCAGACATGTTACTTTGGTCATATTGTGCCTTTAACAGTATCATGGTCAAGGATACTATTGTACAATCACTATTTCTGATCTTACAATTATACCTTTGCTCTAATTACAATTACTTCTGTTCCCATTGTTATTCTGTACACACTAAACTCTAGTTTACTATACAGCACAATTTGGACCAATAAAATGCCAATTGCTATACTAACATTGCCCGCTTTGCTGTAAAATGATGGAAAACCAGGACAGCTAGATCGTATTTGAGTTGGCTACTGTATAAGGTGTCCATCGTTACGTAGCTTAAGTAAAGAAAAGCTTCACACCAGGGCAGGTGCACAGATGTTTTGGTCTCTTGCCTCGAAATATCACAATTCACACCATAAAAATGTGCACGGTACCATAGAGACCAGCATATCCCAGCTGAGATCATGAACTGCTCAGTGTTTTGATTGAACCATAATCTAATCTCCACACCCAAATGAAGTCATGTGGCTGGTTTTAGTGAGGAGAAGGGTTATTGTTTTTTAAGATGGTGAGTGTATATTTTCATTTCCGACCTGGTGGTCGTCCCACTGCTAATTCAACATTACACTCACAGCTAAAACACACCACTTGTGCGGCTGCGATGGAAAAATTATGTATTTCCGATTAAACCTATGGGTAATAAATAATGTGGTGACCGGAGGACTCTCAGCTTGTACAGTACATTTAGGAAGTAGAGAAAAACGGCCTCACCCCTCCATTTTAATGTGGTACATTCCACACTGAAATCTCAATTAGACTTTTGACTTTACTTAAAAAATGGATACTTGTAGTTTTGATTTAGAGAGCTGCAGTTCATCATACATACATACATACATACATACATAGAAGCAGATAAATCCTGGTGTGTGTTCAAGGGCAAATGATTTATGCTGGAAAAAATACAGTGCTCATCACTGTATGTAATGTTTGCAGTGACCCACATACAAGTGGTTTTGAGTTCTCAGTCTGTATACATTATGTTACTGGACAATTGATTAAAAAACAAACAGTACCATGGCATCTTGCAAATTGCTGCGGAAAATGCATACTTTGGAAATTATAGATTAAAATTGATATATTTTACCTAAGAAAAGAAAGTCTAATATTAAGATCATGTGTCTCATCTATGTACTAGTGTGGGTTCTTGTGGCTGGATGCTCTGCTCTGCTCCAGTTCCTGCTGCAGTCAGCAGAATGCTAAGCACAATTCATTATATATAAGTGAAGCGGTGAGTGCCTTTCTGTGCCACTTCCTAATGCTCCAAGACGGTTATCCTTCTGAAACTTTCATGCAGTGTTAAGGAAATATTAATCTGGTGTGGAACTAAATGGGAGCATTACTTTTGCATTTGAATTTAAGTAATTGGATAACTGGATTCACAATGAAAGCCCCAAATCTCATAAACTCAATGTGCAATATTTTCCCATGTGGACAGAACATGTTCCCCAGTCACGTGACAGATACCACATGATTAGGATGAATTAAACACTCAATCTGCTATATATTATAATATTGTGATTTGCAGGTTTCTTGTTTTAATTAGATCAAATAACCAATTAAGCTGGGAGTATTTGAATAATATTACAAATGGGAAATATAAGCTTGTCAGAGAATCATTATACAATTTTTTTAAAAACTTTAGATGAAAATGTAATGTATTTAAACATCCTTATGACTCATTTAGCAGCTAAGAGAATTATGAAGGAGAGATGAACCATCCAGAATATTCCAGCCTGCGTTTCCATCTGACCAGCTTTACACAAAGTATCCTCACTATTCTTTTATTCTTGTAAAAGACAGTTGTTTCAGATTACATCAATAGTGATGTGCCATTTAAAATGCCTAGCCATTACTTTGTCTCTGTTTTATCTCAGGGACAACTGTCACGTTCCAAAACATGGAGGAGGCAGGAGCAGGAGGAAAGGCAAACCAGTAAGGAATTTATTGAAAGGAACAGGATCATGGCAAACTGAACAGACCACAAGGGATCAAACAAATGCACAAGTAACTAAAGGAAAAGCAAGCAAGCAAGCAAGCAAGCAAGCAAGCAAGCAAGCAAGCAAGCAAGCACACACTGGGATGCCGTCAATGACCAGACTGGGGAGCACAGGACTGGGAGGCACACTTATACATCACTAATGAGGGAGCAGACGAGAGGCAGCTGTAGTCAGGCACAGGAGGGCTGAAACGAGAGGTAAGACAAATTAGTAACACGTGTGGCTCGTAAAGAACAAGGGGGCATGAATGCAGCGCGTGACAACAATTTTATAATCTACCTGATTTTATAAGCACAAATGAAAGGTACTTGGCTGTAGAAGGATTAAATCTGTTCAGCTTGACACTTGCAAAGCAGGACAATAGCGAGGCAGCAGCATGGCTCTCCAGGAAGTCTTAGAGACGCAGCTGGTTTATTTTTATTTAAAAACTGAATATCGGACACACTTACGCCAGTAACGGAAACTGTCAGGCCTGCCTTCATCACCACAGTTTCACCTATTTCTTTTCCCCAAGCCTGGGCTGCACAGTCTGCCTTTGGAGAAAACCTTCAGCAAGAGCCACTAGGGAGGTTCTGTCAAGATCCTCTAGACTAGACAAGACATGATAGGAAACACATTGCTTTCCTTCACACTGAGTAAGTCTGTCACATGCTGCAGAAACACAAGCTAGAATAAGTCAGACTAGAAGACATAAAGTCGCAACGAGGACGGAAACGGTGAGGCTGGGCCTTTCGGCCCGGCCCCTGAATCTGTCACTGGGTTTGTGTCCCGCGGGTGACACAGGAGCCGAAATAAACAGCAGCACTGGAGCGCAGTGATGGCAGGCCTCCAACCTGTCATAAATAAATCTCAATCAAGCCCCCGTGTGCGTCACATGTTTATTCGCAAGACACCTAAACTCCTCGTGTCTGATTTCTGCCAGTGAAGATAAAGTCATTCTGATTATTTTAAAGGGAAAGTAATTCTCACTGTTTGGTCCGAAAATGCATTCCGGTTTTTGTCATGGTCACCAAAACAAAATGCAGATGAGGATCAAGTGAAAATAAATGAGTATCTTTTTACTGACACATGGCAGGGTGAAGCTATTTTCAACAGGCGATTAATGTGCTTGTAAATTCACGGTTCATGTCATGTTTTATGACTGGGCAAAAAAGAAGGCAACAATGGACACACTGTGCTGAATTTAACGAATCTGGCTGAGGCACGGAAACATTTTGCATAGGAACTCAGCTTTTTTTAGCTTCCAGAGAGTTATATTAACCTTTACACTCCGGCAAGGGATCTACCGTTACCCCTGACAATAGATTTTCATTATATCACATTTCAAATTATAAAAAAGGAGGGATTTTGTTTGTGCAGGCACTCAAGTATTGCCACTTAAGTTTAATTGGCTCCTTCATTCATAGGTGAAGTAGCACATAGTGGATTTTGTGTTTTCACTTATTGCTTGATAGCCGATTACATTGCTGATGCTAATGAACATCAGGGCTGCGGCATGACGTGCTAATCAGATTAACAGGGCTGCAGAAAATAGGCCCCTGGGGTCATGCAGAGAGAAACGACATGACTCACACTCCAAAGGCGTAAATTATCAGCTGGTAACCTGAGACACACACGCGGATCACATTTAACTGGACCATGGTAGACATTCCCCCTTGAACGAACTTCAAGAGTTTTCCTCTTGATAGGTGACAGTTTGGCTATTTGTAACTGAGAATTTCTATGGCTTCAGGTCCTCACGGTGTGGAGTATAAGTCCTGGCCTTGTGTAATTTATTTCCAACACCTCAGACGAAATTGCAAGCAGAGTGATGCAAGAAGCATGACCATATCTCTGAACAGCGAAGACGTCCTATGGGCTGGTAATTTGTCTCCTGTTATTCTCTTGTTGAGCTGACATGTGTCTGCTGTGAGCGATGGCTCGCATCCCGTGATGCTTTCTGTCACAGACAGAATGGGTGCCTTTCAGAATTTAAAATGATCCAGTCCACATGGCTCACGCTGTTAAGTTTGAGCAGTAAAATATCATCTTTCCTTCACCCCCTTCACTAATCAGATGTCAGCCACAAAGAGCATCCGGGTCTGTCAAAGTCTTGTACGACATCTTTGCCTATTCCTGTCAAAACACCACAAACTGAGAGAGCTCCCATGCACTGTGTCTCCTGTCCACTCCACGCTGCATCTTGTTTATTTCATTCCAGCTAGACAACTTGCTCCAATAGTTTGCCCACTTTCTTGCCTTATTTTCATTGTCTACTCCTGCCGTTTCACCCTTCCAAGAACCTGCCCAAGAATCAGTAAGGGTTAAAGCCTTGGACGACCCCACTCATGGCTGTGAGACCAGACTGGAATCCATGTGAGAACTCAAAAGTTTAAGTTCAAGTTCCAGGCATCAGTTCCAGTCTTATATGGAAATAGGGCTGATTCTCCTTTTGACCATCACACCTCCTGAGGTTCATTCTTCTCCAAAGAATAACATCAACAATGCAAGCAGTCACCTCCTCATGGACATAGCACTTCACAGCATGTAATTTCATGATTGCTCTGACTGCTCAGACACCTAGAAGCCAAAGGGTAGTAGATGTGATATACATGAAAACAGCATTATTAATTACATTTACCCTTGCTGTTCTTTTATGATCTTTTGATCATTTCCTGTAATGCAACCACATCCTTCACCAGCATGGAGGTGTCTTTGATGCCTTTGGACAGTCTCATATACAGTATATTGACCTAGGAAATGGTGGGGTGCAGCCATTCATTCAGAAAAGTGCTCACTTGACAAGGATAAGCACTGAAGAAAGGCTGCGTATCCCAGCATGCACTGCACAGCTGTCCCATACCTCTGAAGGTTCCCTAAACAAATTCAGCACTGTTTATTGCAATGCCAGCAAACATCACAAAACAAACAGTTTTATTGTATTTAAAATATGCTTGGGCATTGCAAGAGTAAAATATGCAATCAACAGACAGTTACCACACAAGGGCATAAACATAAATTCTAGCCCCCCCAACACAATGTCATCATGACACCCCTGCCCAATTTTACGTATAATTTTATGCATTTGTGACAAAGTGCTGTGTTCCTGGCGATTGGCAGCACAGGGTAATGTACAGCACAGCATTACCTCAGTAGCACAGTCAACTCTTACACTTATATAATGTACAGCAAAACATTAGCTCAGAAGCACAGTCAACTCTTACACTTACTGTACGTAATGTACAGCACAGCATTACCTCAGTAGCACAGTCAACACTTACACTTACGTAATGTACAGCACAGCATTACCTCAGTAGCACAGTCAACACTTATATGTCATTTGCTTTCTGTTGGCTTGGCAGCTGCAGGGATGCACACCAGTGACTGGACTAGCATGTTGAGATTCAAACAAACAATACACGCGCATTTACATCATTAACCCAAAAATACGCAAGTAACATACACTTATTATGCTACCTATCAAGTGTTTTTCCCCTGGAATCTGCAAGAGTATCCATGCCCCTGCAATCCCCCTGCAATGCCCCTACAATATCCCTACAATGCCCCCGTAATGTCCCTATAATGTCCCTGTAATGCCCCTGCAATGCCCCTACAATGCCTCTGCAATGCCCCTACAATATCCCTACAATGCCCCCGTAATGTCCCTATAATGCCCCTGTAATGCCCCTACAATGCCCCCGTAATGTCCCTATAATGCCCCTGTAATGCCCCTACAATGCCCCCGTAATGTCCCTATAACGCCCCTGTAATGCCCCTACAATGCCCCCGTAATGTCCCTATAATGCCACTGTAATGCCCCTACAATGTCCCTGTAATGCCCCTGCAATGCCCCTAAAATGCCTCTGCAATGCCCCTACAATACCCCTACAATGTCCCTGCTACCACAGAGCAAGGAAAAAAAATTGTAAGGGCTGCATCTCAGAATTGCAGATATTTGAATATGGTTACCAACTGAAACCTTTATGAGTACTCCGGAGATTTTTTTGACAGCGCTAATTAGAGCATGTGGTGTGGTAGCTCAGTGAACAGCATTGCTACAGTATGCGAGTGTGGTTTCCACCGTGGCCAGGAATATTTCGAGCTCCCTTTCCCGTGTCTGCATGGATTTCCTCCAACAATGCAAAGGTAAACTGATGCCACTGACCTGCCCTATAATGCTGGACTGGCATCCTGAGCAGGTGGTATCCTGCCTTGGGACCTGACGTTCCTAAGATATGTTCAAAACTCAACATCTCCAACTACAGTGTTTCTATACCTTTCCATCCACAAGGCCCAGCTATTTACCATTTACCATGTTGGCGGCCGGGGGGGGGGGGGGGGGGGGGGACCTTTTGATAATTTTGCTAACTGGGGGGTGGTGCAGCTGCTGGTGGTGGGGGGGGTTTCCCGTTGGCAATTTTTTTCAGATCAGGTTTGTGTCCATGCTGTATACTATAGTACTGTACTATAGTATTGTATTACACTTGTATTGGGCTTCATTGTTTTATTTTGTGTGATATTTTATTTATCGTCTTCTTTATTTCTGGTGTTTTTAAGCATGATGAGAGTTATGCCTTGGCACAACAATTGCCCTCGGCATAAATAAAGTTTCACCTCATTTTATCATGGACCAAACCATGTTTCCCTGCCACAATCCTTGCTCTTCACAATGGTTACTCTTCATCCCCCTCAAACACACAATCATATGTCATTTTGAGTCATTTATACCATAAGAATTTTAGACTTAATTTGTTGTCCAAAAATGTGAATAGGAAACTATATTTTTCATGATGATATTATGAAATTATTTGATACTTGTTCTCTAAACATTCTAATTTCAAATAGGGTTGCAGGCTGACTTTTAAAACGAACAGATTTAATCTGAAATTAGTATACGTGTCAAGCTACAGTGAAAACTGGGGGCTTTTAACCGAGAGACTCGACACCTATGAATTCGCTCCTCATGTCAGCATTGGCCCCCAACATATACCCAGTGCATGCTCCGATCCATCGCAAGGGAATGTCGCCACCTGCTGTGTTCGCAACTCCCCGCCGTGAAAGAACGACCCGGTGATATTTTATGTATTAAGAAATCTATAACTATTCTTATCATGCATTATATGCTGAGTTGTATTAATTTGCAACGTGCTTTTTTGTCTAAAACATAAAAAGTTGCAACTGCAAGTGCACCTGTTTATTTAATTACATTTAATAACAGTAGGAGCTGGTAATCTGCATCTAGCGGCATGCATTAAAACACATTTATAACTTTAAAGAATAAAGCCTTGGTTATTTTCAATAAAGACGCTTTTTCAGTAAATGTTGGATTTCCTACAAACTGGCCCCGCGGCCTATGCTTATCGCATCCGGGCGCTTGATTTGAGATGCTTGCAGAGGACGGTATGTTAAGTTGACATTAGTAACCGAGCCGCTGCGTGCTTGATACTTAACAAAACTTAGTCCTAATTCAACAAAACCGGTTGTCATCCACTTTGCACTGAGAGTACTTAACGAAAATGAACGGAGTTTCATTTTCTTACTTTAACTTTACCAACGATCGGTAAGCATGGGAAATGGAGGCGGTAGTAAATCGAACACAATTGCGCTGAGCGCGAGAGTGTCCGCGGTGCGGTGCGCGAGCTGCCAGCCAATGTAACGCTTCCCCCCCGCCGCGCAAATGACACCAATATACGCTCCGTGCATAAGCATCAGGCAGCCCGCAGACTGGCGAATTTAAAATAAGTCTACAGAGGCGGAGGACAACGGGGAGAAGGTGAGAGCGGAGTGTGAGAGGGGGACGCGAATCAGCCGAAGCACGCCGCGGCGCTCCGCGAGAGCAGACATTGCGGACTCGCGCCGCGAGACGCGAGCGGCTCCGTAACGGCGAAATGGAGTAAACATGGCCAGCAGAAGGACTGCTTTCATCGAAGGTAGGCCAGCGACGGCGTGCTGCGGCGGTGCCGGAGAACCGGCTCGAACCCTAGACGTTATTCAGGCGGACACCCTACAGCGCCGTTTACATTTATTAGTGTACAACGCAGGCTAGTTAGCCTAGCCGCCTCATTTGTTGCGGATGACCGGTAGCTAGCCACCGAGCTAGACAACTAGCTATATGCTGTTTAATTTGGCCTAGCCACGGGGCTCTTGTATTTTTGAGGTGCAGCTAACTAACCCTGAGACGTTTTAGCCAGATTCGTGTATATGTGCTCTAAACGCCGCTTTTAAAACCGGGGTTTTGTTTAGTGTTGTAGGTAGCTGGCTAACAATAACATTTGTAGTTGGTCTTCCAGTTTGCTGGGTTGTTCATCCAGTGCAGACGCGGTTTAGGAGGAAACCTAAGCAGCCTTATTAAAATAAACGTGCAAAACTATTGAAATCCGCCAGTAACGTGTGTATGTATATATTCTGGTTTTCATGTTTTGCGTGGTGGCCAAAGCCCAGTCGGCCTATTGAAGTGTTTGATAGGTGATGGAGAAGTGTTCCGTCATGGGGGCAATAATCTGCATGCGTGTGTGCCACCATGTATCTAAGTAGCTACAGACAGTCACTTTAACGTAAAACAATTAAAGACTCATCCTGTTTTATTGATATCCTTAGTTTTATTCGTTTGAAGTAGCCTCTAATCACCCTACATTTGTTCTGTTATACTATAGTCAACAATTAGAGTATTTTAAAACCAATGTCACTGAATTGTCCACACATATTAAATCTAACAAGTTAACAGGATTACATCAGCTGGTATGTATAGACAGGTCGTATGTTGCATTTTGAAATCTATTTGTATTTAGACAAATATAATGGAAATGAAGCGACGTGTTTTAAAAGGCAGAGCTTGGGGCCGAATTTACACTGGTCACAAATGTGTTTCTGCAGCTAGAAGTGTTGGCTGAGCTTGGTTTTAAGTGGCATGTTGGTGGGGAATGTGACATGTTAGATTATGTGTGTTAGGGTGGGGTGGGATTCTTGCAGTAGAAGCTATGTAGTGAATAGTGGTAGACTGAAATTAAGTGGCATATGTCTTAGAATCGTGAAGGGTGATCTTAATGTGTTTTAGGTACACCATGGGCATCTTTATGAACTGTAATGTTACATCAGGCATAGTGTGATGAGTATCTGAAAGCAGCAAAATGTAAATATGACCATTTCTTGGAAATGTCTCTTGAAAAATGCAGGTGCAGTTTGTCAGGACTAGAGACTGTTCTGTTGACAGGGTGAACAAGTCCTGTGATTTAAAACATGCATGTTGCTTAAAACGTTGTGCTGTATCTTGCAGGTTTCTTGCCAGCAGAGTTGCTGTACGTAAGTGAAGTTGTAGAATTGTAAAAACAAAACTATTTATTAATTTAGATATTAATTGGCTGAAACTTTGCTTAGTTTCTTTTTTGGTGTGAAGCCCTGCAATTACTCAGCAATGTCAGTCTGAGAAATTTAATCATCTGTAATAGTCGACTAGGCTGGACAAGATTTTTTTGAACCTCTCAATAATCAGTTCTAAGTTTTTCTTCCAGCTTTCCTTCTGTTTTATTGGAATATTCAAATATTATTTAAAAAAAATAGACACAAGTCTTATCGATGACTCTGGTCCTCTAGAGTAACCCGTAATCCATCCTGGACTGGGGTTTCTTCAAGGACTGCTGTGGGAGCCCCTGCTGTAGCATTAAGAGAGAGAATACAGGGAGTATCACGAATGAGCAGTCGCCCAGTTCCTTTTACTCATTTTGGATGCTTAATTACCAAATTGGGATTTTAATGCTAATCTGTATGATTCTATGGTCCAAGTGAGTCTCCAGTACTGCATGAATAGTAAACTTAAAAATTCTACTTCTCATAGCATAATAATATTTTCTTTGTTTTGAGGTGAACTAGTTTGTGTCTAATTTTCATTTCTGTTGTGTTTTGGGTTTGACCTTATTTGTCGCCCTCCTGGATTTTGCACACTTGGAGTACTTCCTTGCCACGCTTGTCTTAAAGGCTAGAGGGAGTCTGTGCTTATGACCTGGCAATTATTTTCGGCGTTTCTCTGAACTTGCTATATATATTTTAAGTCGGGTCTGAGAACTGTGCTTCCAATGTCTAAATTGGTTTAAATCCTACTGTTTTTTCCCCTCAAACAAGGCACTTGCATCACTACAGTAAAATTATTCAGGTATTTAAATATCTTACAGATTATGCATTCTATCACTGTTATTCCACAGTTTGGCCAGGATGCTTACAACTGTGCTTTTGCTAATCATTGTTTCATTATTGTAATAAGCATTTAATAATTTCATGCTTATCTTATTGTAGGACATGCCCATCCTCTTTAATAGTTCTTTGGCCCTTATTACTGAAGATATGTTCTGACTTTGTCAGGTTTGTGCTGCCAGATGACTCAAACTAAGATGAGTTGGACCACAACACCATTATAATGCGCAAGTGGATGAAGGGTGTTACAGATGTAATTCTGATTTAATATGTTGAAGCAGCGTCATCCCAGTTCCATGTTTTTTGTAGGTTTAGTATTTACTTCAGCTATCAGGTATTTATGGCCTATAAAACTTGATCAAAATGAGCATGTGAGGGTGAATTGTTGTATCTTCGGGGTGCTTTACTCCATTTATTATATTTGGCATAAATTGCCAGAATGAATTTTGAGTAAGTTAATGTTGACGTTATGGATGTGTAAGTCCCGAGTTTGTTTGCCGAAGTATGAAAGTTGCCTTCATTTTATTGAGCTGAGTTACCTGAAGTTCGGAGCATTAGTATTGAGACTCATGTAGAATCCTTTTGTGGGGGGGGGGGGCTGGGTGATGCATAAGCTTTGCTTCAGAATTACCTAGATATCCCAAGTGGCTATTTTGGAGAAACTGTGTCAGGAAATACTATATCGTACGGAATTGTTAAAATAAGTCTGCCTTAGTGCCACTGCTTTAGAAACTTCTGCATAATAGTAGCATAGCATGATACAGGGATACAGCAGCACTTAACATGGTGCTGAGTGTCTAAGCGTATTAGAAATTGTCAGGCCTATAAAACTGGCTGTACTCTGAATAAGGGTTTTTGCTAAACACTTGTCGTAGTGTAACCTAATCAGTTTGCTATCTTTTAGTCTAATGCAGCATGTTTGAATGTGATGCTGAATCTGGCACTTATGCCCTTTTTTGTAGCAATGTATCCTGGGAAGGACCCCCCCCCCCCAAGTCCTGTTCCTGTAGGGATAGTTTTGCAGGAATTGATTGCACTTGATTGAGCTAATTATACCAAACTCATTTAGTGCTCCCTTTCTGTTCTGCGGTTAGCTTTTTTAGGGAGATCTCTGAAATATGCTTGTGCTACATCCCAGCAGGGTCAAGAGCAGAACATCTGAGCTTGTGTGTAGAAGAAATGGGTGTGTAACCAGGGAGCCGCACAGAGCGGAAAATGATTTACGGCATGCCTGTCTGCACTGGTCAGCGTTCTGTATGCAGTTCATTGTAGCTGGGTGGGCTCTTATAGAAAAGTGATTTGTAGGTAACATCTTGAATCTGTATCGTTTCTTAAAAGCTTGAAAGAAACGGTTTTAAAAATGCTTTCGATGCATTTAATTGTATTATATTACACCTGAATTTTAATTAAAGGAATTTGATTGTTTACTAGCTAATTTTAGGAGTGAGAATCAGGAGAATCAGTTCCCTTTTAGCTATAATGCAGTATGATCACTGTGATAAGGTGCATGGAAAAACCACAAACTCATATGATTGGTTGTGTTACCTTGTGACTTTGCTATTAAGTAGGGGTGGGTGGTACACCAGGATCATAGTTATTACCAGTGTGATTGTGCACTATGATATGGATTTGCACTATACCATTAACACCGTGGTAAGTCAACAGCCCAATTATACAGCAGCCTATTAATAAAAATAAAGCATTTTATTTTCTTCCAAGCTTCAGTTGTAATCTGAATATTTGTTCTCATATATAACCGGTTTTTCTGCGTTTTGTGAATTTCCTGTTAAATTTGGTTGTATCTACAATGACAATATTCTATATTCCATACTCCGATAGAACATTAACAAATTCAAAAACAGATTCCAGGCAGATTTTGTGTAATTATACACATTAAACAATAATAACCTGGTTACATGTGTGTATAGCAGCAAATTAAAAAGTGAAACATTTGCTAGATCGGTTTATCTGTTGCCCACTGCCGTCATGCAGGGTGCATGTAAAAGGCACGACTGCCCAATTAACACGAGAACCACCTTCTCCCAGGTCAGTGAACATCAAACTGCTTTAACCGCCAAGCAAGACGTACTTCAGCGTATGCAACCCCTTTGTTTACACTAATGCGCCATTAGTGTTAATAACGGCAGCATATCTAACACCCTCAACCAAAACGCCGTAATGTTCCTAAGAGAGTGGCTGCTCTGTCCTGAAATCATACAGCTGACAAGTTTTGAAATGCAGTATGGTTTTTATGAAATGTTGGATAAATGGACGTAGTTTATTGGTGATTTAATTTTTTTATAAATCACAACTGTATAAATGACTGTTTTCACACACACACACACACACACACACACACACACACACACACACACACACAGAAACTCAGGTGAAACATGTGTTTTGACGGTAGTCATCTCTAACCCATCTGGTGCAATGCTTTCAGACTCATGCTCAAGCAGGACATCTTACAGCAAATCTATATGATCCCATTATAAACCTAAAATTAGCGACATCAAAAGTGCTGGTGGTGTTTACAAATCCTACAGGCTATTTACAAGGTAATGAAACTGTTGCGTACATGTAAATGCAGGTGCCTGTGTGTGCAGACTCATCCGGAATTGAAAATCTCACTCCAGTCAGCTGACCAAAGTTGGCAACCCTGTGTTTTTATTGTAAATTACCTGTAAAATCCACTTCTTTCAGCTGAAACAGCTTATCATTCACTTTGTGTTGTTACTCTGACAATTATGCATTGAATATGAGAAAACATTACGTCTGTCACTTGTTACATGTTTTCAAAGATCACCCATACCCAACTGTAATAGTGCTTAAAGTGAACGTATAAAATATATTTTTTAAATTTACATAAATGGACAGGTCATGCTACTCCTCCCAAAGCTTGGAAAAAATTAATACCGTGATATATCATCACCATCCAAAAAGTGAAAAATACCTTGATGATAATTTTAGGTCGTATCACCTGTACTTGTAAGTACCTGGTGTCCAGCAAGTCTGTTTTTATCAAGAGGTGGGGCCAATTTTCATTCAAAATTGCAAATTAGATCACAGTCAAGAATAGAAGCAGAGGGGGTTATTCTCCTGTCCTTTTTTTTGCTTAATGGTAGCAGTTGTACCTTCATTTTCTATTGTTTCTTTGTTTGCCAGATAGAGTGGTGAGTGTAGATTTTTCAGTGTTAATCTAAATGACATCGCTTTGCTGCTCGATAGGGTTTTTTTTCTGCTGCTGCTTCCCTCTTCATTATGAATTTATGAATTTGCCTCCACTGACCGCTGCTAAACTATGGCATCTGCTGTTCTTAGCTGAAGTACTTTTTGACCCAGTACCTGTAAAAACCAAACCTCTATGCATTGTTCAATTAGTTTAGTTTTCAGTTTTGTTTAGTTTTCAGCCATAGGAAGTAGTATAGAATGGCATATATAATCTTGCTTTATAGGTGTTTTTACAAATGCGTGTTTTTAAAGCCTTTGGAAATGGCATGTGTAGAGCTGGGTGCGATACCAGTATTACGTTCTTCTTGTTTGCGATGTTTCCAAACAATCTTGTCACTCTCAGTATACAGTGATGTTTCCAGACAATCTGGGAAAGCCATTGTCCATTAGTGTGAATCACATAATTCCAGCATTATAACTGCAACAAAAATCAGCATAAATAATAGGTTTCCTGGAGCAGAACAGCTGATCTTGGGGAGGGAAACATCTGGATTATATTAAGTGATGCTCAGACCATTCTGTTAAACCATGCAGACTTGATTGCCTTTTTGTGTTAGATGTTCTAATAGCATTTCAGAAATCCATAGCTGTGAACTGATTTCAGTTGTATCTGTATTTAAGCTCTTGAAAAATCAGAGTCGAAGAAAGATGGAGGTTTCAAGGCAAACTGGAGCTTCTCCCTTTCTGATGCCAGTGAGGAACAAGCGAACCAGTAAGCACTTCTGCAAGGGCCATTTCTGCAGAGACCACTGCACCTTTGCTTATTTTTTATGTGGTAGTTCCTGATCACCGATATCTGCATTAGAATGTACAGCTGTTGAATGTGGCCAAGAGGGACCGTAGCATCTGGCAACTTTGCTTTTTCATCTGACTTTTCTGATGTAAATAAGGCCACTTTTGAGATATGGTGCCTTTGGTTGAAACTTGTAGAACCAATTTTAGTTCTTTATTTGTGCATGTTGTGTGTGGCACTCATTCTGCAGTGTAAAACAATTGTAGATCGACATCTGCTTTGTTTTTTACTTGAATGTAGCAGCAAACCTCAGAACTGACTTGGCTGTTAGTACAGAAGTGTACCTGGGTTCTCTTGGGTCGGATCCACTGTGTTCAGCGCCTGACTTGTTTGCTTTTCCCTTCGATGCAACACAGCAGTTCCCGAGTGACCATGGAGGAGGCGGAGGAGCAGCAGGAGGGTGCGGCCGGGGGCAGGCAGGTACGCTTCCTGCTTATTAGGGCTGCGCGGTTTCCGAGACCACATGGCAATATTTGAAATTTTCGGAAGTCAAATGCAGTGCTCACAGAAAGTCTTGAGATGCTTGCTTAATTCAGTAAAAATATAGCAAATTTTGATTACGCAAATGTAGACATTAGAGTTTACTGCTGAGGACAGAGAGAGCATCACATCAGATTTTTATCAGTCTTTTTTTAATGTGTTACATTGGCATTCAATTGTATACAAGTTCTAATTTTATAGGAATTTCCTCAATACAGACAACCAGTTGCCACATAATCAAAGTTATCAGATGGAAGCTGGCATGTTTGTTTCTCTCCAAAAGTCTCCTCAGCTGAAGAACTTCACAGTGGGCGAACACTTAAAGACATACGAGCGCAAGCAAACTAACCACTCGCGGCTGCTGAAGGGGAACGGCCTGGGGGTCCACAAGCTAGCAGCTGGAAGGAAGCACAGGTACTACCTTGATGTAATTTTTGAAAGGATGTGGCAAAACAAACCAACTTGTCTGGAGGAGGGAGATTATTCATTCTAGCTGATAATGTGCCTCTGTGTATGGAACATCAAAACCTATTATCGCTTCAGCGAGTTGTGAAAGGGAAATGGAGATCCCAGTGGTGAGAACTGGAGCAGTTGTGTTGTTTTTTTTTGATTGGAGCTTTATCTCCCCTCTTATTTCTTTCCCCAGTGAAAACCCTCATGCCGTAACTCCACCGCCCAATAGAACCAATTATTTTGTTGTCAGTCATACGCCGCCACAAGGGGTCGTCGTTCAGGGGCGGCTGTTCCAGCATGCTAATGCACCTGCTGTTATAGGGAAGACCGTCCAGAGGTAGGAGGCATCGTCGTGGGATCTCGGTGTGTTTATGTTCACGGTGAACTTCAGGATGAGTGTGATTTGCAGCCTGATGTACTTTAGACTTTGGCTAAGCCTCAGTTCTGTGTTTTTATGGAGATTGTTTTCAAGTCTGACGACTCTTTATCAGAGTTGTTCCAGTAAGACTTTTGTTAACAAAAGATCCACTTTGTAAAGTAGCTGGTTTCTTACCATCTACTGTTGTGTCATCCTAAAGCAACTTTGACCTGAAGGAAAGGTGAGCTGGTTGCTGGGTGAATATCTGAGCGCATGCTGGTGTGGAGTCTGTTTCCAGGTGTCCTAGCTCATAATCTGTGTTCCATCTCATGCTTGGGACAGATCATTTCTTGTACAACATGCTTGTCAATTAGAGGCTGGCTTGGCTGCCTTGTCGTCAGTCACAGTCATAGTGATGTTTGGCTGGTTCCTCCCATTCTGCTCTTTTTCCATCTAAACTTCTGGATGCTTTTTGCTATTGCAGTGGTGCTTTTTTGCAACTGTTTTGCACGATGTGTCTTATAATGTCTGTACTCTCCTAGACTGGATGATGATGTCACAAACGGAACTTTAATCTAGCCTTGGATTTATGATAAATTGGCCTTATTTTAAATGCATTATTTTTGTGTTCTGTGATTCTTCCTGGGTAGATTGATTTCACATTTATGACGAGTCTGCAAATAAATAAATATTCATATTCATGTAGTTACAAATGTGTAGAAATGATTTCCTGAACTGAAAAAAATATGCAGCATTTTTATTTATAGAACATGCATATTTTGAATGAGTTTGAATAATATAAAGGAAAGCTGACTTAGAGAATTTTTCCCCTTGCAGAAAAGACTACAATACCCAACAAATCCAAAGAGTGGAGTTAGACAGCATTATACTAACTTGCCCAGAAATCCCAGGTAAGCAAATTTGTCTTGTATTTGTTGTTTCATCTTTGGTACACTAATAGGACGAGAGTGCTGTACATGGTGAGTGTCACCAGCTAACCGCTGAACTGTCAGCTTCTCATATGTGATCAGACAGGAGGACCACCTCTCACTTACATTTACAAAGTGTTTTGCTTTTTGTCAAGAAGGCCTTAATATGTTACCACAAATATGCACAGGAGACTGGAAACGTATACTCTGCAATCGTGGTAATTCTGCACTTAAATCAATAATGGGGCTTTTTGTAATTTCCCCCCTGAAAGGCATCGTCCCCTTTGTCTGAAAGCTGTGTGCCGTCCATATTTTGTGTTAGTGGGGAGAATGTTCACTTGTCATGGAGGTTGTCTGGGAGGAGCAGTTGACAGTCTGTTAGAAACAAGCCCCTGTGGCTTAGGTTGGGGGTCAGCTGGCGGCTTGGGGAGGGTAGGATACGTCTCTATCGCCAATCCGAGGATCTCCGTGAGAGAGCCGGGGGGCAATGAGGCCGTCAGTCCCCAGGGAAGCTGGGGAAGAGGACGTGGTGTGACCTTGAAATGGTGGCGCCGTCGGATCGGGCCTCCTTTCCAGATTGCCGTCCTGTCGGTGGCTGTCGTTTAGGGTCCTGCATTCTGCCCTCTGCTGCAGTGAGCCCAGAGACGGATGTGAAGCGCCGGGTGCAGCAGAACAGGCGGCGGTCCTTTCTGGAGGCCCCAGGGAGCGTCGCCTCGTCAGCCAAGAGGATGGAGGTCAGGAGCCCGCAGGCGGACGGCAGCTCCAGGGGGTCCCGGCACTGCCAGAACCCCACGCGTCAGGCCCGGGGTCACGCCGCTACGGCACGGCTGGGATGCCCCGACAGTCTCTCTGTCACACTCCCATGTGCACGGCCTTCCCCAAACAAAGGGAATTTTGTAGTATGCTAAAGCCTTTCAGAAGAAAACAATCAATCTACCCAGCACCCTGTGTGGTCTCTGTACAGAGAGTGCTTAATATGCGTGCACTGTGTGTAAACCTTTAACCTTTAATAGTGAGGAAGTGGATTATGTGCCTGAGCTTGTATTAGCTCTGTCACCCCCAAGGAAGCCCCTTCCTGTGCAGCACTCCTGTTTTCACATGCGAGAGACACGGCTGCTGCACGCATTTGTTATAACACTTTGTGTAGCAGCTATGCCCATTTTCTCCTCTGTTTTTATTTATTCTTGTTTTCCAAAGTAAAGTCCCAGTTGTTATATCTGACCTGCTTCGTTAGCAGTCACAGTGCCCAGTTTAAATCGCTTTTACGCCAGTGCATCACTGAGCTCTCCGCAGTCACGTTCCCTGGTCCCCAATGACCCCTGATTTGATTGTAAGCCACTTTGGCAGGGAGGGGTCATCGTGATATATAGTGCTGCAGTGTAGCTGGCCTTGTCCTGGGGTAGAGGTGTCTTGCACACATCGTGTATCGGGGTCCCGGTGTCTGGGTGTCTGGCAGTAGAGGGAGCCGGAGGCATGGTGAGGTGTTGAGGGGTGTCAGCTGTGGAGCTGGAAATGGCTGCTGTGCCGTGTGGGTCAGCACTGACTGACTCTGTCGCATCTCATCAGCCCCAGCCGCTGGATCCTCAGGACTACCTGACCGTGTGCGGCAAGTGCGACAAGCCCAGCGAGGATCATGTGCGATGTCAGAACTGCGGCAACCCCCTGGCTGAGGATACCCCAGCCCCTGCCCCCACCCCCGCGGAGCCCCGTGTCCCCCCCCTGGCCAGGAATCCCATCCGGCCGCAGGCGGCCACGGGACCAAGCAGCCTGGCAGTGAGCAAGAGCTTCTACGGCGCGGCGTCCGGCATGAGGGGGCCGCGGGGCGACGTGGTGATCAGCCCGCCTGTGCGCATCACGCGGGGAAGCCTGCCGCTGGACGGGCGGCCTGCGGGGGCGCCAGGGAGCGCCGTCACCTACTCCAAGGCCTGCAGGGGCAAGAGGCAGCTGCCCAGCAAGCAGCACGAGCTGAATGATCCCAGTGAGTCCCGGCGTGAACGTGCGGGGCGGCTCGGGCTCAAGAACGTGCGTAACCCTTATTGTGTGTCCCTGAACGCCTCACTGTGCTGAGCACGGCTGCGGGGGTGTGGGGTTGTGGTGAGCTAATGTCACTATGCTGCTGTCACAGCTAAAAGGTTTGTGCCCAAAAATAACTACACTGTGCCTTTTTCAGCCTCTCTCATTTCTTTGTTTTCATGCGGATCTCCAAAAGGAATTGTTGTTCTTGGAAAAAAAACGTAACAATAGGAATATCTGAATCTGTTCAGAAATGCAAGTTTAATGGCTGAAGTGAAGTTAACGAATCTTCTGTGGATCTAGGGATCTAGGTTTTAACAGCTCTAGACGGCTGGATATTTGGTGACTAGTGCATGGCCTCTAGCGACTAATTGGTTATGATAACAGTGTGCAGGTCGGACTAGGTGAGGTTCTGCTGTAGAATGATTTGGACGTCGTCTTCAACTTGGTGTTAAGGCTCCAGTATGATATTTGGTGTCTACAGACCACAAACACCTGCACGGAAACGGAAATCGCAAACTGCCGGGGGCCCTGCAACTGTACAAACCACAAAAATCTGAATATATTGTTTTATATTAATACTGTGCTAAATTTTCTGTGAAATATAGTAATATTTGAAAATTAGCCATACCATACTGTTGAATATACATTATTTGACCCACTTTTTAATCTGCATGCTTGCATATTTGACAGTTAGATTTCACTACGTCTCCAACGAAAGCTGAGCATTAAAAGGAACTGGAGTAACCCTTAATACAAACAGTGAACATTATGCAATAACCATGCATCAGAAAGTAGCCTCTCACTGCTCTGCAGGGCAATTTTGTGTCTTTTAATCACAAGCTGGTTGTTTCGCGTCTCTATCTTAGCGAGATTGACTTGGCCATTTACTTGCGCTTCAGTCACCCTTATACTGTACTTGCTGCTGTCCTTCGGGTTAGTGGATCTTGTAGAAAGGCAGCTAGGCTTTAGCTCAGGAATGGAATGATTGACTTCCTGTAGAATGTTTGACTTCCTGTAGAATGTTTGACTTCCTGAGAGTTTCTCCAAGAAACTGCTCTACTCTCTTTTTGTGTGGTTTTCACCAGGCTTTTAAGTCTTTTGTCTGAAGAAGTTTGTCTAACTGCTGACCCATGGTTGTTTTTCTAGGCCCCTTTGTTTCAGTCTGGATCATTTTTGCACCTTCCTCAAAGATCTTGGCAGGACGGTCAATGCAGGGAATCTAGGCCCTTTTCAGGCCTGCCAGTTAACCTAGATGGTTGCATGTTTAACCTGTGGGGTAATTTATTCAAATTCTTCAGATCCTCTTATGTTATAAAGACAGTTCAACACAAAAAACATCAAAACACAGAACTGATATGAAAGCAAAGAGCTTCTTGCGCTCCCTCAGTGTTACACATACACCTTTGATATTTATATTATCGATGCCTGTAAATTATAATTATACACTGCTACTTCCAGTTGTTTCGGCCAAGTTCTGTAAGGCAGTAATTGCCGTGCAAGTATTTCTAATATTTGTGTGGATGTTGCAGTATTTTAAACTTTTTTTTTTTTTAATTTTAAAATATGGACATTCACTGTATTGTGGAAGGAGAAATATTTAATTCTTCAGCATATTCTTTGGTAATATGGGTCAAATCTGGCATGCAAAAACTTGAGAAAATATCCTATTTAAAAAAGCCTACTTAAAAGGTTCTACTTTATCATTTATGTATTCAAAGAGCAAAATTGCCAAACTTTGAATCCTCATTTTCAAGCATCTATTTTTCCTCGCAGTAGAATGACACAGATCCCGTAAGCGTGAAAGATGCTGAAAGCCATGCAGCATGTGATGCTCAGCTTTGCTCCAGAGTCCAGCAATCGGCAGATAACTAAAGAGTTTCCCGTTAATGTCTGAGGTCTTTCCCGCTAGTATGAGGTCACACGCTGATGCGAGTCTCATCTGTGCTGTTTCAGTTGTGCTGTCCAGCGATGACGAGGACCAGGATGGAGAAAACAGCAGCACCGGCAGCGTCAGCCGGCTGGACAATGTCTCCCCGCGGCCCGCCGATTCGGCACACTCCTCACCGGCGCCCTGTGGTGGCAGACTGGAGGCCGCCGTCAAAGTCCTTCCAGAACAGGAGGAGCTGAGCTCCAGCTTCTTCATGGATATGGACTCCAGGATCACCCTGCCGAGGAAGAGTCGGATGAAAGACCAAGTATGTAGCAATGGTCATCTGTTGACTGAGTTTTCGTGGTGTGCCCCCCCCGCCATGGATTGCTAAATTACAGGTACACCTTTGTGCTGATGCAGACGGTCTGCTCCACCAGATACTTTCATGTGGCAGCAGCAGAACATAAACAGCGTACACACTAGAGGTTCAGTTCTGTGGGACTGTGCACTAGAAGAGATAAACATACTGAGCGGCACTGAGCGTGTGGCTCAGCAACCTAAGCCTCTGTGCCTATGATTGGAAGGTTGCTGGTTCAAGCCTGGCTTCAGTAAAATAGCCACGTCTGTGGGCCCTAGAGAAAGGCCCTTAATAGATGCACCCTATTTCCCTCTGTGTGGTTTTGATCTGGTCTCTCCACAACAATGAATCGCTTTCCTTTAACTTGTGTGTCCCCCACCCCCGTGTGGGTGGTGCTCTGCTGGCGGTCGCCAGACCGGCTTGGCAGTGCCGTGAGGCTCTGCTCATCCCCAGCCTTTCCCCTACAGTTCGGGAATGCGGTGGCTGATGATACCACCAACCTCAAGCGGCGGAAGGTCATCAGCAATATGAACAGCATCATCCTGGACTGCCGGAGCGTGCGGCTGGGCTCGCTGCGCCGGATGGTCACCAAGCCTGTCATAGTAAGTCCGCCCCGCGCACGCCTCACCTCCCCCATCGCAGCCTCTGCTGTCGAGGCCGAGACTCTGTTTAGAAAATGAAGGATGTGCCATAATCAGAGGCTTTCGAATCCGAGGGTCTCTATTCTCATGCTCCATATCCATCTGCATTTTCTGCCCCGTGGGACTTGGATCTGAGTGTAAAAACAGTCATTTCCCTTTCAGTTCTCCGTCGACTACATCCAGCTGGAAACTGAAGGTGAGGGATCGGCGGTGCTGCTCTCCCGCAGGCAGACCCGTCGCACCGGGCTCCGTTCTGGCAAAGCTAGGCGCTGGTCACCTCTTGAGTCACAGGGCTGATAACTGAAACTGGTGAAATGCATTTTTTTTTTCGCCTTGGGCTGCATTTGTTTGAAAGTAATCGTGTTTCAAAGTCTTGGTGGGTGGGCAGGTTGAGGGCTTATTGCAGGAGCTTTATGTCTGGCAGTCGGAAGCCTCATGCCGTCTCTGCTCACACAATTACAGCCGTCCTTCGGCAGGGCGCCATAAAGGGGGAAGTTTAGGATTTCCTGAATGATGGACCCGAAAAAATTTGGAACATCATTGGATTGGTCTGGGTTGGGGCCCAGTATGATGAGTTTGTAGCACCATCCTTCAGCTTTGATACATGTGTGTGTGTATTTAGTTACATGATGTAGTTCAGCACAGGCGTGCGCCTGTCTGTATGTGCCGGGGTGGTATACTCTGTGGTATATACATACTGCCCGCTCTATTACAGGGCATTCTGTCACTTTGACAGCCATATACTTTCGGTACATGCAAGCTTAGAGTATAGCTGAACCCTCTTGGTGTCCCGTGGCAGGTCCAGAGCAGGACGTCCTGGAGAAGGTGAGGCTGAGGGCCTCTGAGCTGACCAGCTGCGAGTGGTGCACCGTGCGCAAGCTGCCTGTAATCTTCCTGCAGACCACAGCCAGCGAGTGCCTGCGTCTGCGCAGCCAGCTCAGGATGTCTCGTGGGCGCAGCTTGTGGTACGACTGCAAGAGCACAGGTGTGTGCCTAGGGACCCCCTCCCTCGGGTTTGTGGACCGTTGTGTGTTTTCCCTTGCTTGCTTCTCATCAACATCACCCTGCCGGCGACTCAGTGTTCAAGCCGCGCAGATCAGGTGTGTCTGTGTGTCTAATGAGGTGACAGTTTTAAAGACTTACACTTTGTCGCTTTTGGCTTTGGTCAGATCTGGCTGAGCAGTACATCGTCTTGATCTTCGAGGATGGGCTCTCAGTGCGGGTGGAGGCCATCCTGGAAGAGATTCTTCAGGAGATCGGCAGATCAAACAACTTAAGTGACTTTCCAGCCAAATTGTCATTTGAGGAAGCCAACAAGAGACTAGTCCGGTATAATGGATCAGAAGCAAAGGTGAGTGCACTCATGGGCGTTTCCACGGTGTGTGTGAGTGAACGATGCACTTTGTCACTCAGTGGTGGGAACCCGCTGATGGGTATTTGACATTGCAACAGTGCAGCAATGGTTGGAGTTACAGTGCTTCTGAGTTATCACTAGGGGGCACCATAGGGTTCCAGATTAAAGGCAACGTAGCATACAAAAGCGATGAACTCTCTATCGAGACATGTTCTGCTTTTAAGATGCTATTATGTGTAGCGTGCCTTTTGCCACTGTTTTAGGATATCTTTTTACGATATCTTTTACGAAGAGAATGAGCTGTCCAGGGGTCGGTAGTGCGTTGATGGTGTCTGCCTTCCCTGCCCCATAGCTATCGGAGGACGGTCGTCAAGGAAGGACACGCCAGTCTACACGCCTTCAGCCCTTGTTCGAGGACGATGACGACGAGGCAGAGGACATGTCTGAGCTCCAGCCCACCTTCACGGGACCCGTAGTTAAGTAAGTGACACTGTTGCCCTTCAACCTCTCACTGAGCCTCTGAGGTCAGCCTTTCCTAGAATAACATGTCGTCTTGTCTGTCAGGTTGATGGTTTACCCTCCGGCTCCAGCCAAAGGGGGCATTTCTGTCACTAACGAGGACCTTCACTGTCTCAATGACGGGGAGTTTTTGAATGACGTCATCATTGACTTTTACTTAAAGTAAGTCGTCACCTTTTGTTGTACGACTTTTTGTGCTTCCAGGCGTTTGGAAACTGGAGGAGTCCTTCCCATTGGTATTTGCATATGTGTGTTATTTGTTAGGTATTTGGTCCTTGAGAAGTTAAAGCTAGAAGATGCCCAGCGCAGCCATATATTTAGCTCCTTTTTCTACAAGCGTCTCAACCAGAGAGAGAGAAGGAACGTCCCGGACGCTGCCCACCTGCCGTGAGTCTGCGTTGCCGTCATACGCATGCAGTCTTAATCCCTGACAGTGGAGGGCCAGTGCCAGTGCCACAGTGTCTGTGTTACACTGTACATATATCCTATTATATTTCAATTATCAGATTCAGTTATTCAGTTTTTTTTTTCTTTTTGTCACTTTTTGTCACTTTTTGAAATGGTTACTTTATTTGAATCAGTTGGAACTTTGTCCACAAATTCAAAAGTTGCAAAATTCACGATAATTACTATTACAATTTTTTCTGTAAAATAGATTTAGATTGTGTTTAGGATTTAAAAAAAAAAACAACAACTAAATAATTAAAGAGATTAACTTGCTGTCTTAATCATATTGAACAGACATCTGCATAATTCCTGTCTCAGTATTTGTGTGTGTGTGGTGGGGTGTTTGGCCAATATAAACCAGACCTTCTGTTTCTTTGGTAGCAGAAGAAACTCACACCCCCCCCCCCCCACCCCCCGATTTTTTTTCCA